ACAAAAAAAAAGGGTCCTCTCAAGATGTTTACAACACGATTCGTTTATCCCCTCAACAAATGGTGGCTGGGTGCCTGCGTATGCCAGACACAGTGCTAATGAATGGAGATGAAACGATGAATATTCAGGATGCAGTATGTTAAATGCTAAGATAGATGTACGCGCGAGGTGCTTGAAAGCTCAAAAAGAAATCAAGCATCGTGGGCCAAGTTCTGCATGCACAATCTCACGGCCTTCTCACTATGCTCTCAATAGGTAGATACTCTCATTATCCCATTATGCAGATGAGGAAGTGGAGGTTAGGAAGAATACATAATTTATCTGAGGTCACACAGTAAGTATGTGGTAGACCCTGGCCTTGACTGACTCCAAACCCAGGGATCGTGCTTAATTCAGGCTACTTTCCAGAAGTTATGCTCAGACTCAGTTCAGTAAAGAAAGGGACTAAGAGCATACCAGGCAGAGGGAACACATTCAAGGGTTTAGAGGCAAATGTCACTGAAGTCAAATAACAAGGAACCTTCAGGCAGGAAGGACAGCTCCCTCAGAATGAAGAATGAAAACCCCAAGGAGTTAAGGGTAGGGCTTCAGGTACCTGACGGCAGAGGCTGGGAGAGATGATTTCAAGGCCCTCCCTTAAATATGTAAAGAAAAATATACTGCGTCGGTGGCCATCCACCTCCTTCCATGTTGCCCACTGATGAGGACTGCCGATGGGTGGACTCATGGGCGGAACCATGGGCAGTGAGATGATTTAATGTTACCACCCAGTTTTCCACGAGAGGAAATGGAGCCTCAGAACTCTGCAGTGATTTCTTCCCCCGACGTTGCGTAGCTAATTAGGGATGTGTGCGTGTGTGTGAAGCCGATTCAGTCGTGTCCAACTCTCTGGACTGTAGTACAAAGGTGGGCTTGTAGACGATAGCCCACCCTCTGGACTGTAGCCCGCCAGGCTCCTCTGTCCATGGGATTCTCCAGGCAAGAACACTGGAGTGGGTTGCCATGCCCTCCTCCAGGGGATTTTCCTGACTCAGGGATGGAACCCATGTCCCTAATGTCCCCTGAACTGGCAGGTGGGTTCTTTACCACTAGTGCCACCTGGGAAGACAATCAGGCATAGAACTGTGATTAGAATTAAGATCATCTGACCCCCTAGCTCAGAAGGAAAGTTTTCAGACATATATTCTATGCAAAGGACATGAATAGACAATCCACAAACGACCAACGAGCATAAAAACATTTGTTCAGTTTCCCTTGTAATCAAAGAATCCCCAATAGTCCAGGAAAGCAGGCACACTCATACATTGCCAGTAGAAATCTGAATGGTAATAAACTTTTTTGGAAGATATTTTGGCAATATGAAAAGGGCTATATAGTGTAGTGATTAAGAATACTGGTCTCGAAATCAGACAGACTTGGACCCAAACACTTGGTCTACCAACCACCATGGTGAATTTAACCATTTCCTGGGCATAAGCCTCAGTTTGCTCTGGAAAAAATGTGAGTATTAATAGTACTTATGGGTCTTCCCTGGTGGTCCACTGGTTAAGAATCTGCCTTCCAGTGCAGGGGATGTGGATTTGATCCCAGGCCAGAGAACTAAGATCCCACAGACTGCAGGAGGACCAAGCCCGTGCACCATAACCAGAGAAGCTCGCACACCACAAGGCAGACCCAATACAGGCAAAAAAGGAAAATATGTAAGTAAAACACATTGGCTTCATTTTTAAAAACAGTACTAAAAAAAATAAAAAAAATAAAAACAGTACTTATCTCATGAATTTGCTGTGAGGATTAAATGAGAACTTATCTGTAGCACATGTTTGCGCTGAGTCGCTTCAGTCGAGTCTGACTCTCTGTGACTCTATAGACTGTAGCCCACCAGGCCCCTCTGTCCGTGGGAGTCTCCAGGCAAGAAAACTGGAGAGGGTCGCCCTGCCCTCCTCCAGGGGGTCTTCCTGACCCAGGGATCGAAGCCACATCTCTTCCGCCTCCTGCATTGGCAGGCGGGTTCTTCACCACTAGCGCCACCTGGGAGGCCCTGTCTATAGCCCAGCTCTCCAGCATGGAGTCCAGCAGAATGTACACTCATGACTATTACATATAAAGAGTTCTATAAATACATTCCTTGGACCAGCAATTTCACATCTAGGCAACTTATCTTTATACGAATGATCAGAGATGTTTACAAAGATTTATGTCCATGGATATTCATCACAACATTATTTATAATAGTGAAAAACTGGAAACACAAATGCCCAACAATAGAGTGGGTAAATTAATGATGGTCCGTGTGGTTGATGGAATAGCATGTGGCCACTGAATGTCAGGCTGAAAAGAACACTTCATCATCAGAGAAAACACCCTCAGGAAGGGACAAGAGCAGCTCGCACACAGCAAACGAGCATAATGCCAAACTTTATAACAGGCCATAGACGCTGTTCCGTCACCAAGTCGGGTCTGACTCTTTCGTGAGCCCACGGACTGTAGCCTGCCAGGCTCCTCGTCCATGGGATTTCCCAGGCAAGAATACTGGAGTGGGCTGTTATTTCCTGCTCCAGGGGACCTTCCAGACCCAGGGATCCAAACCACGCTTCCCGCACGTGTCTTCTGCACTGCAGGCAGATTCTTTACCACTGAGCCACCGGGAAGCCCACACAGACAGGGTGCCGCACGGCAACTCGGTGAGAAGGAGAGGACTCGCCCAACAAACCCACGGCCGTCCCTGTGAGACCCCGAGACCAAATGGAGGAAACCCAGCTTCAGTGGATTGTGCTATAAACTCTGTAACAAGACTGAGATAAAGAGTGAAAAGAAGTTCCTTTCTCTGATACTATCAAAATGACATAAATATTTGAGTTTAACGAGCCATTCTCAACATTCCAGATATGAAAAGGCTTGGAAGGAAATTATATTTTACAGTTGTAAACTGATCTCAGCATGCTGAGATTTCCACATTTAACTTCTATTAATGCTTCTCAATGCCAGCATGAAAACGTATACCTTAGACAATCTTCCTCAGTGCTATTTCTTACAGGGAGCTGATCAGAAGAAATAAAGTCCTAGACGAAACAGGCAAAGCCTCTCTGGACAAACACTGAAAAAGGAAGCTAGAGTTGATTTGTTTACTACTTTCTTCTATTGATAAATCCTAGGATACTGACAGAGAAATTATAGTACAAATGAGAAAAGTAAGGAACCCAAAGCAATGAGTGATCATTTTTCCTACATACAGAATCCCAAGTGGTTCAGGGCAACAAACTTTGAAAAGACTATAGTATGCACTCTTAGTTGTAAAACACTTATTTGCTCCTTCAAGTTACACATTATTTGTGGCAGGTTTGGAATACACACACACCAAATAGATTCTACAAATATAGAGACTCCATCATTATTGGTTTTGTGCTTTAGTTTATAACGGAATTAAGCTTTAAACGTGCTTCTAATAACGTGCTCCTGAACAAGTCACTTGGCCCATCAAATCCTCCTTAACCTCCCTGGAAAACAGTCACAGGACTGAAGGGAATGATTTCTGAGAATCCTTCTAGCATTGAAATTATACAGCAAGCTATTAACTTATAAATTAGAAAAACTTCAATCTTTCAGATCAGAGGTTGACAAACTATAGCCCATGGGCCACTCTGGAAGGCTGCTTATTTTTTTTTAATAAAGTTTTACTGGAACACTTTATTGGAACATCCTTCTCTACAAGGATGGTGTTTTAAAAAATTAATGCACATTTAAATTTTTTTAAGCCCAGGTACTTACCATGGGCCTTTTATGGAAGATCGCCAGTCTCTCTCTTGGGCTCGATTTACAGATCTTTTTATTCATAATATTAAGTTATTCTTCTTATTCTTTATATAAAGCAAATCTTGACAATCACTTTTAAGAAAGATTTTATAGATTCAGATAAAATGCCATCAAACTTTTCAACAACACGCATATACCTCTGTATTAGATTTCCTTTTAATGTAACTCAGGTGTCTATCTTAACAAACAACTTTCCCAGTGTTTGTATTATTCTTGCAGATCTCATAAACCATGCTGAATCTTATAGACATAACCATGAAAGTGGAAATAAAATCTCCAGTCACTCAGTCATGTCTGACTCTCTGCAACCCTATGGACTGTACCTTGCCAGGTCCCTCTGTCCATGGGATTCTCCAGGCAAGAACATTGGACCGGGTTGCCATTTCCTTCTCCAGGGGATCTTCCCAATTCAGGGATCGAACCTGCAGAGTCTTTACCATCTGAGCCACCAGGGAAGCCCAAATATAACCATATATTTATATTATTTTTATGTAACTTACAATCAGTCATCCTAAAGGATATCGGTCCTGACTATTCATGGAAGGACTGATGTTGAAGCTGAAACTCCAATACTCTGGCCACCTGATGTGAAGAGCTGACTAATTGGAAAAGACCCTGATGCTGGGAAAGATTGAAGGAAGGAGGAGATGGGGACGACAGAGGATTGAGATGGTTGGATGGCATCACCGACTCAATGGATATGAGTTTGAGTAAACTTCAGGAGTTGGTAATTGACAGGGAGGCCCGGCATGCTGCAGTCCATGGGGTCACAAAGAGTCGGACACAGCCAAGCAACTGAACTGATGATGGCTGAACTTACAACTATTGCTATAATCCTGTAACCATTATGTTCCCTTAAATGTTTCAATACTTGATATAAATGTGGAAGGGTTTCAATTGAGAAATGAGAAGCCTAAATCAATTATAATTTTTAAGAGAATGAGAATGACCTATCTAACCAAGGGGTTAAAGTCTCTTAAGCAAAAATGAACCAATACGAACAGATTCCTTCTTGAAATAAAATATAAGTATGAACGGTTGGATCCCCTTCTGCCAGCAATGCCATTTATGGACGCATTAAATGCATTATTTGTTCTCATGATATTCCACACAACATGATTTCTGACCGAGAATGTTACTGCTAGAAAAAAGCAGGTGGCTGACCTCCATGGACCTCACTGACCTACCCGTGTGAGCATCACTCCGAAGGCTGCCAGGCAGAGAGGGGAATGGCCAGGGGAGACGGCTGGAGCCACACCTCGCAGGGCACTTTCCTTCTCCATGCAGGAGCACGTGTGGATTCTCCTACAGCAGACCTCACAGATCTGGAGACCAAGGGCTGGAAATGAAGACAGTACCTCTCATTATGAAACCTAATGCTACATAGGGACTTCCCTGCTGGTCCAGTGGCTAAGAGTCCACGTCCCTGATTCAGGGGGCCCAGGTTTGATCCCAGGTCAGAGAACTAGATCCCACATGCCACAGATGAAGATCACTAAGATCCAGTGCAGCCAAATAAACAAACATAAATGTTAGAAAAAATTGTGTCAAATAAAATTAAATATAAAAATAAACCTAAGGCTATATAAAAGCTTAAAAGAATTTTTTTTTAATTTACTTATTTGTTTGCACCGGGTCTTAGTTGTGGCATGCAGGATCCAGTTCCCTGACCAGGGATGGAGCAAGGAGTCGTAACCACTGAACCACGAGGGAAGTCCCTATAGCTTTTATTCTCCCCACTGTGACTTGGAGCCACCGTGGACTTGGAGGTCTGTGAACGCTTCCCGCAGGGACCACATGGCTCCACTGGGCCAGAAGTGACTCCCACCGAGTCCTCACCGGGCTCTTTACTTTCAGAAGATTAAGGTCGCTGCTACACAGTGAGGACCAGCAGATTCTCTGGAGCGCCTCCTAGGACCGCCACGCCCAGGGGCAAAAGTTAGAGAAGGTTTCAGCCATCCTGCAATGGCACCCCACTGCAGGATTCTCGCCTGGGAAATCCCGCGGACAGAGGAGGCTGGCAGGCTGCAGTCCACAGGGCTGCGAAGAGTCGGAGACAACCGAGCAACTAGCACGTTCACTTTGTTTCAGCCAGCCTAGAACTCAGCCACCTGGGAAATAAAGGTTAGACCGCGCCACTGGGCAAGGAAGCCCGGCCACCCGGCAGACCTGCGGGGAGCAGAGCCCGCACAGAGGAGGAAAACCGTGGACACCAGCCCCAGACCTGTGGCCTGTGACCCGCGACCCGCGACCTGTGACCTGCGACCTGTGGCCTGTGACCTGCGACCCGTGACCTGTGACCTGCGACCTGTGGCCTGTGACCTGTGGCCCGTGACCTGTGACCTGTGACCTGTGGCCCACGGCGAGACTGAGGACCCTAACAGCTACCACACTCTGTTCTCTGTGGGTCATTTACACATGTCAATCACTGCCCGTCTTCCCCTTCCCTTCGTCCCTACTGTTTTATAAAGCATTTCTGGGGCATGACGAACTCGACCGTTCAGCTCTCAGGCTGTGGAACATCAAGACTGCCCTGTGGGGATGTCCCTGGTGGTCCAGTGGCCAAGACTCCAAGCTCCCAACGCAGGGGGCTGGGGTGGACCCCTGGTCAGGGAACTAGAACCACACACTGCCACCGCAGATCCCGTGTACCGCAACTGAGACACAGCACAGCCAAGTGAAAAAATAATATGTATTTTAAAAAAATAACAAAAAGAGTGGCCTGTGATCAGGCTAAAGGAAGCATTCCCCACACAGACGCAGCAAGCCTGGTCTTCCTTCGGGGAGACGGCATTGTTGTTAGGGAGCATCGGTTGTTACTGCCATAATTTGTTTTTTGTAGTTCCTGCTTCACTTTTCTTTTTGACTGCACTGTGTGGCTTGTGGGATCTTTACTCCCCAACCAGGGACTGAACCCAGGCCTCCAGCAGTGAGATCACAGCATCCTAACCTCTGGACCACCAAAAATTCTCCATTATTGCTACAATGTGGAGGCTTACATTTGGGAAGAAGAGTAGCGGACAGCTGGATTAGCCGTTCCAACCTTATTTTCACATGCCTTCCTTGACTGCGGAGGTGGGAACACCGCAGACTCGGTTTTCAGACTTCCCTGAAGCAGAGTTCTGGGGATAATTTAGGTTCTCACGAGGCACCGGCACAGGCCCAGGTGGACGTCTAGGCTGGGCGGTTTCTGCGGGTCAGCAAGATCGAGGGGCCACCGAGGCCAAGAGTAACCTAGGCGACAGGACTCGCCTGGCCGGCGTCTGGACTCTTCCCTTCCACTCCGACTCCCTGCCCTCCTTACTCAAAACGTCCGTTTCACATCCTGGCATAATTCTGTGTATCTGGGGACAGTCTAATAAATTAATTCAGGCTAAGTAAATTGTTGACTGTGGAAACAATGTTTTAATATTGATAATAACTCTGATGAAGACAGCCACTGCTGACTAACACCATTCATTGTTAATTGCATGCCAAGAGCTTTACAAGAATTGTGTTATTTAATTCTTAAAAATAGTCAAATTTAATGAACTAAGTGCTATTATCTCAATTTTACAGATGAGAAAAACTGAGGCCTTGAGGTTTTTATTTTTAAACTTCATTAAAGTCACATAGCTAGCAAGCATTAAAACCAGGACTTGGTTCTTAGCCTGAGTTCAGAGTCTAGTCTCCTAACTACTATACTACATTGCCTGTTCAAATCCTATGGAGTTATGAGAGAATATTAGGTGACCATGAAGCTGGATGGGAAAAAAATATTTTAAGATTTCAGGATGGGGACTCTTCTAGCAACGTGCTGTGTGCTCAGTCACTCAGGTGTGTCCAACTCTTGTGACCCTGTGGACTGTAGCCCACCAGGCTGCTCTGTCCGTGGGATTCTCCAGGCAAGGATACTGGAGTGGGTTGTCATTTCCTTCTCCAGGGGGTCTTCCTGACCCAGGGATCAAACCCGCATCTCTTACATCTCCCACATTGGCAGGTGCGTTCTTTACCACCAGCGCCAACAGATGCATTTACATTTTCCCAAGATTGGGAGATCTAAACATAAAACATTAAGAACTAAACCAGAACACTTTGTGGTAACACAATCATTTCTATAGAAACAAGTATTTTGGACTATATAGGAAACATGAAAATTTAAAGAAGGGAAAAGGTACAGAGGTGAGTGAGCAAAAGTAAAGAAACCTGGAAAAGTAGAGAAAGGTTATTCATATAATAAAACATTTTATTAAAGAGCCCATATTATAAGCCTCTAAAAGATTAAAGTAGTATAGATAAAGCAGTAAATCAAGTTTAATGCAGCATTAGATAAGAGGCTGGTAGTCAGTAATAAGGATACGATACTCAAAGCTTAAGGTCACTGATTATCTGAAAAAGAAGAAAGATGAGCATGCACAATGGATCCTGTGTTTGATAAATATTAGGTTCCTAAGGAAACAATAACCATAAATAAAAAGGTAGAAACCTTGTAATACTGGAAACTAACTGGAATGCCTATATGGAGATCATTTTCACATTAGGAAATGCTGCAGAAAATCTAGTGAGGTTCTCAACACTCATATATTCTTAATAAAATGCAGTAACTCTCCAAAATGGTCAGTGAATTCTGAATGAAGGTTGGGCTAACTCATGGGTATAACCAAACCTCTACTTACCTACAGAGAACAACCATCCAGTTAAATGGCTTAGCTGATCAGTTCTATTTGCCATGCTAGGCATATGAGCATCCTCACCAGTATCTTGCAATCATGCTGGTCTAAGCTCATAATGAAGAATCAGTTCAGTTCAGTTCAGTTGCTCAGTTGTGTCCGACTCTTTGAGACCCCATGAACTGCAGCACACCAGGACTCCTTATCCATCACCAACTGCTAGAGTTAACTCAAACTCATGTCCATTGAGTTGGTGATGCCATCCAACCATCTCATCCTCTGCCGTCCCCTTCTTCTCCTGCNATATACAGCCTTGACATACTCCTTTTCTTATTTGGAACCAGTGTGTTGTTCCATGTCCAGTTCTAACTGTTGCATCCTGACTTCTGTGAGAAGAACTTCTAGGTAATGAAATGTGCATAATCAGACATTATGAAAATTACCAAATAAAAATTGTTTGCAAGTGCTAATATTTTACTATAAAATGTAGTTATTGTTTTCTACTATTCTAACATTTAAACTACCAAATCTGAAGCAGATTTGGCAATTCACCTCATGCACAAAAAAAGTCATTATGTACATCCTGTTTTTTCTCCAACTTTATACCTCCTGTTTTTATACACCCCCTTTTTTCTCCAGTTTGTGCTAAACATAAAACTATTATTTTCAGGTGCTTGATTTAGCTTTCTGAATGCAAAATAAAGGTTCTGTTTTGATACTGGGGGAAATATACAAGCACCCACATTCATATATATGATCATTTGCCCAACCACAGCTACATTTTCAAACTAAAAAGTAGGTAAAAGTGGCTAAGAGACTAAATAGTCTGGCAAAATGAAGGACAAAAAAGTTCCCAGTAAATGACCCATTACAGTGGAAAAACGTCAGCTGTGAACATGCTTGTGAAATATACCGTGGAGGATTCTCCTTCTGTGATTATGGTCCTTCTTGCCTCCAGGTTCAAGTGTTGCTCAATCAGCAAGGTGTTCAATTCACAGTGATTGCTGCGCGTCTCCTTGTTGATCGAGACAATGCATCATCTCAGCCTAGACACATTTACCATAGAAATGAATATAAGAAACAGAATTTTGATTTAAATTTTCCGCTGGCAGGAGATCGAGAAAAATACATGCAAGAGAAGATTCCATTTGAAAAGCTCTGATTCAAGTTAAGTCCAAAGAGAACGCATCTTTCTGTACCTAATGCAGTCTTGGCATTAAATAGCAAGGCTTTCTCGCTCACAGCCCTTGTCAATTTGATTAAACTCACAAACACGTGACTGCCTCTGCCTCTGTTAAAAATACTCAAGCCGGAGGATGACTGAAAGTCGTGGGGCTTTGTCTCTGTGCCTTTAACAGAGCAGTCATAACACAGAATACTAGCTAGAGGCGTATACGTTTAAATTTAATACCCCACAAGTGAATTCTCCAAATGCAGCTCAAAGCAGGGTGGGACTGAGAAGAATGCAGATTCAAGTCCGAACTCTCCTTTCAGGCGTGGGCATTTTCAGCTTAAAATGGCCTTGGTGAAACATGATCCTGATTGGCAGGGTGGATTTAAAAGGCTGGGTTAGGAAGCCGTCCTGTCTTCTGCATGTTCTCTTTACACGATGAAAGACCCTTCAGGTGCAACACTCGAGGGAAAAGACGGGGCCCCAGGCCGTGTGTGTGGCGCGACTCTCGCGCAGGTTGGGGAGGGGGCGGGGGAAGGTCCCGCGAGACTCCAGAAGCAAACCGACTCCTCCTCCCTAGACCTGGCCCGGAGGACCGACCCCGAGCCCACGCTAGGGGCCGGAAAGCCTCCAGGCGCTCAGCTGGCCTCGGCGGCGCGGGAGCAGGTCGGGACAGAGGCCGGCCTCACGGCGACGTCCAAGGTGGCCGACGGCGCGGGCGCCCCGGGCCGGAGCGGGAGCCCCGGAGGCGGGAGGGACGCCGCCAGGCTGCCCACGAGTGGCCGGGAGCGCCTAGTGCCGGCGCTGCCCGCGTCGGGCGCGGCGACCTCCCGTTTGCTTGGGAAAGTATTGTGTCCTGTGCTTCGGAGGGCGAAAGGGAACGCAAACGCTCCGGCTCTGCCTCGCCAGGCTCCGTAAGGGCTGCGACGTCCCCGAGCCCCACTGGGGACGCTTCATCTGCCTTTCTTGCCCTCCCAGAAGGAACCACGTTTTCAGCTTTACTAGGTCAAAGAGCAAAGCTAAGCACTCTGCCTAGATTGACTCATGTTCAGTCTTGTGGAGTAGGAACTAGTAACTTGGTCCGGACAGAGATAAACCGTGGCCAAGGTCGAAGAGCCGGCTGGGGTGCAGCCAGGATTCGAGGCGCAGGCTTGCTGACTTCAGGGTCCCTGCTTTTATAATCCTTGAGTGTCCTCCCGCAGCTGCCTCTTGGCCAGCACGTTATCCTTTGCTGTCCAAACACCACACCTACTGGGACACACTGTCTGGAAATGGTCTGACAGGGAGATTGGAAAACTGAAATCAGGGTTGTCCAAAAAACCTGGGACATGTGTTTTACATTGATGTATCACTGATAATTTACAGATGTCCCTGTCTGTACTATACTAATGCAATCGCCACTTAGGATCCTCAAGATTCTTACTAGAGGAAGAAAATCTTAAAGAATTTGCCAAACCCCAGATGGACTTCTGGTAGGTATCCCATGCTGGGCTACATACGGTAGGAGATTAAAAAACTTTTTTTCCCCCCTAAACAGTGTCTGTTCACATAGAGTTTATGTGCTACTAGGGAACTGTCTTGTTTTGTCAAGGATTTCTGTGCAAGTAGTTTATTAAGGACATGCTTCCAGGAGAAACTAGGAAGGGAAGCAAAATAGGGCAGGAGACTAAGGCAAGCAAGGCGGCAATTTAAGGTCAAGTTCCAGCCTCAGCTGGATCCAAGGCAGCTCTGGAGCACAAATTACACAGTGAACTGATCCCATCTTGAAGGAAGGGAGCTGGGATTTTGTGGCTCAGACAGTAAAGAATCTGCCTGCAATGCAGGAGAATGGGGTTTGATCCCTGGGTTGGGAAGATCCCCTGGAGAAGGGAATGGCTACCTACTCCAGTGTTCTTGCCTGGAGGATTCCTTGGTCTGAGGAGCACTTTTGGTTCTAGGGTGAGCCTGGGTGCAGTGGCCACGGTAGATTAAGGTTGGAGGTGTGAGCCATCAGAGAGAAGCGCCCAGAAGCTGGGGGAGGGGTGCAGTGGACCAGTCAGGAGGCTCTGAGCCCATCTGGGCAGAGCGCCAGAAGCATCCACTGCAGTCCGCCCCTTGTGCACTCAGATGCATCCATTCTCACGTTCAGTCTCCAGCTTTTCACAGTCTTCTCAGGATTCTAACTGGTCACAAATCTAGTGGGACAACCACAGCCCTTGGCCCTGGCCCCAAGACTGAAACTGAAAATGATATTAGTTTATCCATCACCTCTCATCTCTACCATCCATTCTAGTTTCCTTTCAGTCTTCAACTAGCCCTTCTGCCCGTCTAGGGATTACTTGGTGGAGTGACCCAAATCTTCATCCTTGAGGGATCCTAGCTCCTTGATACTAGGTCTTTATCAGGCAGTGGTTAGCCCAATTGCCTGTTTGCAGTTAAAAATTGGGAAAGAGAGAGAGTCCAGTGGCTCATCTGAGTGTCAAACATATTCATCCCCAGTTATGTAGCAGGCAGCCCTGCCTTCTTGTGATGATCAGGGTCAGTTACCCCGGCCAGCGTGATCATAGCTTTCTTCGCCAACGCTGAATCCAAAATGGTAGGACTGCAGTGGTAGCTTTAAGCTTAGTGTGAAGTTCTCTCCCTCTAGGAGCTGGAACCGCTAGACCCACTGCCTTAGAGTTGTGAAGACAGGAAGGCTGCCTTCCCCAAGCCGGTCACCAAGAGTGGCAAGGAGCCAGGCTGCTCCTCTTGGTTACCAGACCCATGTATTCAACTCCCTGGAGACACAGCAAAATAAAAAGGCTATTGGTTTAAGGCACATACAGTGACCTGCAGGTTGGTGCCCCAACCTCACAAGGTACCACTTCTAAGTTGGTGTCTTCCTCTACCTTCAGAAGGTGGGTACAATGTATGTTAGAATGGTGTGTATGTTGTGCCATCCATGGATCCCCTTGTCATTTGCCCATTAGAATAGCTTTCTTTGGGACCAAAAAAAAAAAAAAATGTTTTGTGGGATTCTGTGTCTATAAATCAGACATTCTGAGACCTCAAATAGTGAATCTTGCCAAAGCACTGTGGTCAGGAAAGGCAAATTCATACCATGAATTTGTATCAATCTCAGAACAAAATGCTGCCTACTTAACTACTTACCAGCAAGACTCTGGTTTGGCTTCCCAGGTGGCACAGTGAGACGCAAGAGACATGGGTTCAGTCCTTGTGCTGGGAAGATCCCTGGAGAAGAGAATAGCGACCCACTCCCGCATTCCTGCTTGGGAAATCCTATGGACAGAGGAGCCTGGCGGGCTACAGTCTATGGGGTAGCGAAGAGGTGGACACTATTGAGCGATTGACCACGCACACAAGACTCTGGTTGGTCTCCTCAAGAAATGGCCCTGTAGAGGGCACGCAGAGTCAGTCTCTGGCAGGTCAGCCATTCAGCAGTGCTTATAAGCAGCCAGGCTTTCGGACTCATGTGCATATAGCCTCCATTTGTGTTACCAAGGCTGTTACACCCGTGAGCCTTAATGACTGGGACTGAGGCCCCTGACAGCACATGCTGGCTGATACCTACCTGATGAGCCATCCTGCTCACCCGTTTCTTCAGGCTTCTTCAGCAGTGCATGCTCGTTGCGGGCATCAGTGTACAACACATGGGTCTTCACTGCACGTGGCCTCGACCCCCAAACCTCTGTGCACCCCGTCTTCCAGCTGCACACCTTCCAGTCCCACAGCCAACCAGTGGGGTCGGTTTCCGTCTTTACCCTGGCTACCTCTCTCCACACAGATTGGACCACCAGGTACAATGCCCAGAGCTCTGCCTGCTACGAGGATTAGTCCTCACTTGTCTCATCAGAGCCCCCCTGGGCGGGGCTGCAGATCAGCTGTCCATTTTCAGCTAATGCCAGTGTGCATCACCGACTCGATGGGCATGAGTTTAAGCAAGCTCCAGGAGCTGGTGGTGTGCAGGGAGGCCTGGTGCGTGCAGCCCATGGGGTCGCAAGGAGTCAGACACAGCTGG